TCCTTTAGCTTTAGACCTTTCCTGTATTTACTTTTGGTTTAGACATTCTGGAGTTAGAACACTATGTAAATTCTCTCTAGCTTGTGATTTCATGAGATTCCGGGTTTTGGGAGAGTTTTTGTTCAATTTTTGAGAGAGTGGTATTGTATATGCCGAGCGGCATGCTAAACCTTTTCATTATGTTATCCGTAGATTTCTAGTTTCGTAATTTATTTTCCCTTTTTTTCCGCAAATGATAGGCTTACCTAGTCGTAGAGACTCGTCACGACAGTTCACGGAGGGAGAACTTGGGTCATGACAAGTTGGTATCAGAGCTCTAGGTTCATAGGAGTCATGAATCACAAGCCGGTTTATAACTGTTAGGAAAATTCCACTTCAGTTGATTTCCTAGTCGTGCGAGATTTTTGATATCAAAATTCTAAACCTCTGCCTTCTATTCTCTCACAGATGGTGAGGACACGTGCCATCGGAGATGATCAAACACCCGCGCCCCCTGCTAGCGCCACCAGAGGTCGGGGTCGGGGTAGAGGCCGAGGACGCGCACGTGGTGCAGCCAGAGTACCCGCGCGAGCTGCCATAGAGGAGCCACCAGCAGCTCCAGCCGGAGCCCAGGCGCCTGATACGCCTACTGCTACTACTACTATAACTCTCTAGGAGACCCTTGCACAATTCATGAGCATGTACACCACTCTAGCTCAGGTAGGGTTGCTTCCCCTTGCTGCAGCCACATCTCAGGCCATGGGAGGAGCACAGACTCCCGCCGCCCGCACTCCTGAGAAGCGAGTGCATGTTGATCAAGTCCCAGAGATTATACCGGCACCGTCTGTAGCCCCAGTTCAGCCCGAGGATAGGGCAATAGCTTCAGAGGAGGAGCAGAGGAGGCTTGAGAGGTTCAAGAAGTACCAGCCTCCTACATTTAGTGGTCTAGCATCGGAGGAGTGCCACCGTATCCTCCGCACTATGGGTATATCAGGATTGAGTGGGGTTTCTTTCACTGCCTTCCAGCTTCAAGGAGCAGCCTACCAGTGGTGGCGTACTTTTGAGTTGGACAGTCCAGCTGAGGCAGCTTCCCTGACATGGACTCAATTTTCAGATATGTTCTCGAGAGAGTATGTCCCTCAGAGCCTCAGGGACGCATGGCGTTGTCATGACTCGGATTTACCACCGTCGGGATCGTGATGGCGCCTAACTCTTGAATGCTAGGCAAGCCAACAATTTCGGTTCTGACACATTAGTAATTAACTCAAACAGAAATAATTAATATCTAAAGCTAAACAGATATAAAGTGTGGAAGTGTTATAACAGTTCAAAAAAACTCCAACACACATCTACCCCAATGATCTGGTGTCACAATTCACAAACGTTTAAGAAGTTCTTCAAATACTGGTTTAAAAGAATTACAACTATTCTCGAAATGGAAAGAGACAAAAAATCTAATAAAAAGGGAGGGGGACTCCAGGGTCTGCGAACGCCGGCAGATCTACCTTGGATCTCCCGTGGACTGAAGGCAGCAACCTAAACTTTCATCACGAGGTCCGGCACCGAAATCTGCACAGAAAGTGCAGAGTGCAGTATTAGTACAACCAACCCCATGTACTGGTAAGTGTCGAGCCTAACCTAGGTGAAGTAGTGACGAGGCTTGGACACGACATCAATATAAACCTGTGCAGTTAAATCATATACGAGAAAACAGTAATAACAGAAACTTAATAAATAAAGACGGGAAGGGGAAACATGCTGCGGGGAATATCAGATTCTGACAGTAATTCAATAGAGAAGCAAAGTAAACACTATGTTTGAACCAACATAAATAGTGATATAGTAACACGTGCACGACATCGCCCTTCGTGCTTTTACTCTCGTCCACACCATAAGAAACGACAGAATCGGTATGGCATCACCCTTCGTGCATTAACTCTCATAATCGTGGCACGGCATCACCCTTCGTGAATTAACACTCACAAATATGGAACGACATTACCCTTCGTGCATTAACACTCACAAATATGGTATGGCATCACCCTTCATGCCTTAACACTCACGAATATGGCACGGCATCACCCTTCGTGCATTAACACTCACTCACAATATCGTGCACGGCATCACCCTTCGTGCTTTACACTCTTCCTCACCTAAACAATAGAAACAATAACATCCTGGCAAGGGAATCAATAATAACCAATCTCATTTCAACAGTTAACTTCACAATTTAAGTCTCAACTTGAGTCAATACTCAACAATTATCCAATACCAAGAAAAGTATCATAAGACTTTTTCAACATGGAGAATCATCAGTTTAAGCATGAACAATACGTAATAAGAGACACAACGGTCACAGTATAAGACTCACTTGCATGCTCAACATCAACATATAGATACTCGTCACTACACCTATACGTCGTACTCAACACTAACACGTAGCCAGTGGCGAAGCTAGGAATTTCTCCAAGGGTGTTCAAATTTAAAAGAAGTGGAAAAAATTCCGACAAAGGGTGTTCAATATGTGTTATACACTTTTAAATGAAATATTTTACGTATGTAAACAGTGCAATTTTTCAACGAAGGGTGGTCAGTTGACCACCCTTATCAATATGTGGCTTCGCCACTGCACGTAGCAATTAAGACAACAACACATATTCCCTCAAGCTAAGGTTAGACCAAACACTTACCTCGATTCTATGACTAAACTCAATCCTCAAATACCGCTTTTCCTTTAGTTTCCACTTCCAAACCGCCCGAATCTATGCATATTAACTAATTAACATCAATTAACGCTAAATAAACCAATTCTAATGCATGAGTATAGATTTCCCAATGTTTTCCCCAAAAATTCAAAAACTGACCCCGGGCCCGCTTGGTCAAAACTCGAAGTTCGAACCAAAACCCGACTACCCATTCACCCACGAGCACAAATATGCAATTGGTTTTGAAATCCGACCTCAATTTGAGGTCTAAATTCCCAAATTTCAAAATTCCTAAATTCTACCCAAGAACACCCAATTTCCCATGAAAAACCCAAGATTTTGTGATGAAATCATGTAAAAAGATGAAACAGATTGAAGGAAATGAGTTAGAAATCGTTTACATATGATTTGGAGAAGAACTCTTCTTTGGAAAATCGCCTATGGGAGCTTAGGGTTTGAAAATTTGAGAGAATGAGTTGAAATCCCGTCTAAATTGTGTTTTGATCAGTTGCTGATGTCGCATTTGCGACCAGAGCTTCGCAATTGCGAAGCTCGCAAATGCGAGACAGGCATCGCAAATGCGAACCTGCTGCATGCCTGCTACTGTTGCAATTGCGATGGTTGTCCCTCCCTGATGACTTCGCAAATGCGAAGATATGTTCGCAAATGCAAACTATGCTGGCCCGGGTCATCTTCACAATTGCGATAAAACCCTCGCAATTGCCAAACCTGTGAAGCTCGCAAATGCGAAGCCTGATCTCGCAATTGCGAGATCAGAGGCCTGCAACAGATACGAGATGCAACAACAGATTTTCTAAGTCCAAACTCACTCTGTGGCCTATCCAAACCTCATACGAGCCCTCGGGCTCTAAACCAAATATGCATACAAGTCTTAAAGCATCATACCGACTTGCTCGTGTGATCAAATCGCCAAAATAACATCTTAAACAACGAATTTAACACCAAAACTCATGATTTTCTTATGAACACTTGAAATTTCTATTTTCACAATCGGACGTCCAAATCACGTCAAATCACTTCCGATTCACACCAAATTTCATAGATACGACTTAAATACCATATCAAAATTGTACCGGGCCCCAGAACCAAAATACGTGCCCGATACCGACGAGATCACACACTATTCCATTTCTAAAAATCCTTATATTTTCCAGCAAATAATTTTCTTCAAAAATATATTCCTCGGGCTAAGGGCCTCGAAATTCGATTCTAGGCATACGCCCAAGTCCCATATTTTACTACGGACCCTACGGGATCGTCAAATCACGGGTCCGGGTCCGTTTACCAAAAATGTTGGCCAAAGTTAACCTTAATCAATTTAAAAGGCAAAATTCAATATTTTTCTTAGATTTCACATAAAGGCTTTCCGAAAACGCGCCTGGACTGCGCACGTAAATCGAGGATAAAGAAAATGAGGTTTTCAAGGCCTCAGAACCCGGATTCGAATTATAAAACAAAAGATGACCCCTTGGGTCATCACATTCTCCACCTCTTAAACAATCATTCGTCCTCGAACGGACCTAGGAAAGTACCTAAGTCGGTGAAAAGATAGGGATATCGGCTCTACATATCGTACTCGGGCTCCCAGGTAGCTGCCTCTACAGGCTGACCTCTCCACTGAACACGAACCGAAGGATAACTCTTCGATCTCAACTGACGAACCTGCCGGTCTAGGATAGCTACCGGTTCCTCCTCATAGGTCAAATCTCCGTCCAACTGGAGTGCGCTGAAGTCTGACACGTGGGATGGATCGCCGTGATACTTCTGAAGCATGGACACATGAAACACTGGATGCACAACTGATAAACCCGGTGGCAATGCAAGTCTGTAAGCCACCTCTCCCACTCGATCAAGGATCTCAAAAGGTCCAATGAACCTAGGTTTTAGCTTGCCCTTCTTTCCAGATCTCATCACGCCCTTCATGGGCGACACTCGAAGCAACACCAGCTCCCCGACTATGAATGGCACATCACGAACCTTACTGTCGGTATAACTCTTTTGCTTGGACTGAGTTGTACGAAGCCTATCCTGAATGATCTTAACCATGTACAAGGCATCCTGTACCAAATCTCTACCCAACAACCGAGCCTCCCCCGGCTCAAACCACCCAACTGGCGATCGACACCGTCTACCATATAATGCCTCATAAGGGGCCATCTGGATGCTCGACTGGTAGCTGTTGTTGTAGGCAAACTCCGCTAACGGCCCAAAAGAGGAAACAATGATGATCAAAATAATGAACCACATTTAGCCACTGGGGAAGTATCTGATGTTTCAAATGGCAAGGCTGATATGATGAGTGAGATGAAGGAGACAGGTGAAGACAATGCAATGTCTTCTTTCACTTCTCAAGAGGAACCTGGTACTTCCATTACCACCCCTGAAGCAGAAGAAAGAGTTGGAGATGCAGTGCAAGGCACTCCCCAAGTAACTGAACAAGGAGTGCAGGGAAATCCATTTAACTTACCTAGTTTCTCTACCAATCAATCCTCAGTCCCAATTTGTAAACACAAAAGCTCTCATTCACTTGATAACATAATCATCCCCTTGATTCTGGAAGATCAAAAAACCAGAAACTCCCTAGCCTTCTCAGCATTTCTATTCCAAAAAGAACCCAAAAAATATCAAGGAAGCCTTGTAGGATGCAGACTGGATTACTGAAATACAAGAGGAACTGCATCAACATGAAAGAAACAAGGTATGGCACCTAGTACCTAGACCCTCAGAAAGAGCCATCATAGGGACCAGGTGGGTATTCAGGAATGAGTTGGATGAACATGGAAATGCTACAAGGAACAAATCAAGGCTTGTTGTCTAAGGATTCAATCAAGAGGAAAGATTGACAATACATTGTCTTTGAAGAAACAGGGAAGGAACCTGCTCATTGATCAGATTTATGTGGATGACATCATATTTGGAGCTACAGCTAACTCATTATGTGAAAAATTTGCTAACCTCATGGGAAGTAAGTTTGAAATGAGTACGATGGGGGAACTGAATGTCTTCCTGGGTCTTCAAGAGAAGCAGTCCATAAAGGGAACGTGTATCAGTCAGAAATGCATCAAAGAACTCTTGAAAAAAGTTTGCCATGGAAGCATGGGAATCATTGGATCTCTACTCTACCTTACTGCCAGTAGGCCAGACATTGTATTCAGTGTGGGATTACGTGCAAGGTTCCAATCAAATCCTGAGGAATCTCATCTGGAGGCTGCTAAGAAAATCCTGAGATATTTGGGCATACAGAACCTGGTTCTGTACTATACTTCAGGGGACAATTTCAACCTTATTAGTTATGCTAACGCTAATTATGCAGGTTATCTAGAAGACAGGAAAAGCACATCTGAAATGGCTCATTCCCTTAGATCATGCTTTATAACTCAGTAGCTCCCTCAACAGCTAAAGCAGAATCTGTTGCAACTGCCTCATAATGTGCTCATTCACTGTGGATCAAGCAATAGTTGGAAGATTTTTGTGCATACATTGATTGTGTACCGCTTCTATGTGGAAAAAGGGTCTTATTTGTATAAGATTTTGTTGCACGGAAGATCAGATTGCAGATATCTTCACAAAGCTCTGAGCAGGGAACACTTTGAGAAACAAAATGGCATTGGGATTACTTGAACCTAATCGAGAACCTGTTTATGCTGACATAACTGTGATAGTCACACTAAGGTAAAATTGGTTAAAGTGTTTTCTGACTAGGCCTAACTCACATCTATACCGTTGCAGGTAAACACGCATGATGATCATAGAAGCTAAAGGTACAGTGTTGAACTTCGGAGGAGAGCTGCAAAAAACCCTTTTACAAAAATAGGTCAGGAACCTGGTTCCTGCACCACATGTTAGTAGTAATGTGTTTTTCGCATGTTTGTTCAAAGAAAAAGGATAGCAAAATTAATTCAACTGCCACATCATCCGACTTTTCAGACCAGCAGTTCTAAACTATTGTCTCCCTCTGCATCACTTTAATTTTTCCTTCAAGAACTCTCAACCACTTCTCTCACCATGGCCAACAAATAATCTTCTTTTTCTCTTTCCATCGACATCACTCTCACATCTCCTCCTCTCTTAACACCATCACCAGAAACCCACTTCTTCACTATCCCTAATACTCCTCATCTCCAGTCACCTCTACTCTTCTCCAGTCACCTCATCTCCAGTCTCACTTCCATAAGTTGCAAACCCTACTTCTCCTATGTTCCTGAAACTCAGGGGGAAGAAACTCCATTCTTAGGGGATGAAAGAACTCTGGTGCTTTTTGAGTCTTCGGTTCATGACATCGTCATAGAAGAATCTGTTGAAGAACCTGATTCTCTTTTAGCTGAAACAAACCAGGTGGTTGTAGAAGAAAGAGGCTTTTGAGTGTGCCTTGTAGAAGAGTAAGCAGAGTATTGAAAAAAAGGGAGAAGTTGATGAAATAAGGGGAAGCAGTGGCTGATAAATACATTTTAGTGGTTGAGGTTGATAAAGATGCTGTGAAGGAACCTAGTTCCTTAGTAAAAAGATCTACAAAAGGGTGTGGCTGAGAAAGATTTGTTTGAGGGTGACATTGTGGCTGTTGCAAGTAGGAATGGGAAGTTTATTTAAATATCTAGAAAACAAAAAGTGGGAAACTGTGGGAGGACCTGGTTAAATGAAGACCATTCTAAGTGACAGTGGCCTTGGGCAAAAGAGTTAATTCAGAAAAAGTCTTGTGGGGTCGCACGCTTGCCCGACAATCTAGGAGATGGCAGGTATGAGACAAGTTCTGGACTTAGGCAACTAGTGGAGAACTTGCGGGAGAAACTGTTTGACTAACAGTTGTCTGCAACTACCCGCATGGACCTAGCTCTCAAAACTTTTGCTGCCTCCTCTACAAGCCTCCCTCTTCTAGTGCCCCGTAGGATCCTCTCAGTGGCCAGTTATCTTTTGCTCTGATGATTTTGTGGCTGTTGTTTCTCTTTTTGTTTGTCTTCTTGTGATGGCATGTTAGATTTCACCATTGCTGCTCCTGCTGAAACAGTCATATTTTTTCAATAAAACATCTCTTCTTTTGCTTGTACAATGCTTGTTTTCCTTTTTGCTTCTCTTTTCTATCATGGTTGTGTGCACATATGTGGCAAGAGTTAGCTTTGTTGGACTTCTTTATGACTTTTTATCTGACTATGCCTTTTTGTTGATGCCAAAAGGGGGAAGAATCGAGTGAATCAAGGCAGGGGGAACATATGTTAGTGTCAGGGGGAACATATGTAGTTGTTGCTACCTTATCTGGTTAAGTCAAATAGTCATCGATGTTAAAAGTTTGTCATCATCAAAAAGGGGGATATTGATGGGCTTGAGGTCTTTTAATCTATGTTTTGATGATCTAACAAACATTCTGTATGGAACCAAATAAAACACCAAGAACGATAGTAAAAAGTCAGGGGAACATATGGGGAAACAGGTGTAAGTAAGGGCATAATAAAGTCAGGGGGAATCTGTGGTATCCTGTTATCCAATCTGGTTCTCTGAACTCTAACTTCTCGTATTCAATGCTAAGTTTGCCATCATCAAAAAGGGGGAAATTGATAGGTTTTCAATATCTTTGTCTTATGTTTTGATGATCTAACAAACTTAATGTCAAGAACCAGATAGGGAACCTGACTCACTTGGATTACACTCCATCTAACGGATTCCAACCAAATGTGAACTTGCTATAGCTTCAGGAAAGCTTCAGAAGGTTGGAACCCAAACAAGGACTTGATACTCTTGTGGGTTCCTCACGGCAGTACAAAGTCAATTGGACACAGCTGGAAATGAAGATTCTATCGCACTGCACTGTTTGCAGTGCCAACTCATTCTCTGATCAACTAATGTACAATGATTCAAGTTACTCAACTCAAGACAATATGGGCAGTGTGCAAAAGTACCAGATCAGGAACCTGATCCCTTGGTGCTCCCCTGACAGAAGTCCAAGTCAACTATACAGCTGGAACACAGCTGCAGAAAGTGACTGTCCGCAACTGTACAAAGAGGAACACAACAGGGACCTGGTTCCTTACAGTTCTCTGACAAAAGTACAAGTCAACTATGCAGCTGGAATGCAATTGAGTGATTGTCCGCAACTATACAAAGAGGAACACAACAGGGACCTGGTCCCTTAGTGTTCTCTGACAAGTACAAGTCAACTACAGCTGGAAAGCAATTGCAGAAAGTGACTGCCTGCAACAGTGCAGTAGACAGTGCAGCAGCCACTTTCCATTTCGATTGGACATCACCATTGAGATTGGACATCACTAAGGATATCTTGTGTAGTATAAACCTTATGCAAGGCATAATATTCAGGCAAAACACTTGCAAAGTCAGAAAAGGAAAATATTCTCTCAAGTGTTCAAGAACCTCTCTAAAGAACAAAGCTGCTTCAACCTTAAGGACCTGATCCAAGATCGAAGATATCTTAAGTCCTTAGATTGTCGAGTCTTTGTTATGTGTTCTTCATTGTAACTTCTATCCAGCTTTATTAGAAGCATTGATTAGGTTGAGTCATAAGAAAAATTCTTTGTCACCGGAAGTATTGCAAAGTGGCTTGTGGTGGAAACATCACAAGTTAGTCAAAGCCTTTGTAACCGTAGGGTGACAAAGTGGCTTGTGGTAGAAATACCACAAGTTAGTCGAATTCTTTGTAACTAGGATAGTTATAGAGTGGCTTGTGATGAGAGCATCACAACTTAGTTGAAGTCTTTGCAATAGAGTTATTATAAAGTGCTTGTAATAGGGAAATTACAAGTTAGTGAAGTTAAAAGCCTACAGGTGTAGGTCGTGGTTTTTTGATCCCCTTGTGTGGGATTTTTCCACGTAAAAAACCTCGGCCTTATTTACTTTCTGCTTTACTAGCATTCAGTGCAGAGCACGATAAAGGACCAGGTACTCTACCATTTGGTGGACTCACACAAACTTAGCACTGTACCAAACTCATATAGGACCAGATCGCTATACAGTTTGGTTCATCAGTACTTTCAGAGGAAACACATAGATAACCCGGTTCTCTATACAGTCTGGTGGATGCTTAGTTTCTAACAAATAGATACCATGTTCCTAATATCTCACCTAAACACTTAGGCAAGCCTTAGGTAATAATAATAATAAAACTAAACTCGCCTCTGTTAATTGTTAATTGCTACAACCAGCAGGCAGGCCTGATTCGTGCTTCCTAACTGAGTCATGTAATAGACCAGGTCTGCTTCAAAACAATAATCCCCTTACCTTAGTATATTTTTAGATTTAGACTTTGATTGTTGTTTGAGTCTTGCTATTTGATTGCTTTGTTTGAGGAGGTATATATGAGCCTTCAATGTTTATGTGCTTCCCCTTTTAATGTGTAGCCCTATATGTTTTGTATGTCACTTTAGATTTTTCACCTTTGAAACTCCAAGTCATCCTAATATCCCTCCCTTTTAGGATTAGCAGTCCTAAGTGCCTCCGGGACTGTTAGGAATGGGACGGGTAATAGCATGCAATAGTGGCCGAGACTAATCCGCGCTTTAGTACCATAACGGGGTGGGAAGGGTAGATATGGATATGATGAACGGTGCGCGAATACCACGTGTAGCCCCTCTTTTGAGGAGTGATTACCGGGTATTGCATTGATGTGATCCATATTTTAAATAAACCTAGGACCCCCTCTTCCCTTTTTCTTTTCTTTTAAAGCATTATAACTTCTTTTCAAAATCAGCCCTTTTAATAACTGCCCTTTCAAACTTTGTTTACTTTCAAACCATTGTGTATTAAAATCCCCTCTTATTTGAGCCTTATCTGTTTATATGTTAGTTGCACCAAATTCACAAAGAACTATCTGGCCGGGAACCACACTAGTGGATCTTGAGGGGTGCCTAACACCTTCCCCTTAGGATAATTTCAAGCCCTTACCCTATCTCTAGTTATCAAGCAAACTTAGAAATAAACCTTGAAGGTGTCCTAATGCACCATAAATCATTAGGTGGCAACTCTTCAAAAAATGCAAAAACCCAGTTCCCAAAAGGAATGAGTTGTCTTATAACCAAAAATGTCATAAACCCGATTCTCCCGACGCGAGGAGGGAAAAAAGGGGGCGCAACAGCATGGCGACTCCATTGGGGACAATTAGGATTTTACCATTTCAGATTGTACTTGTGAATTTGTACTTTCCCTTTATATGCAATTACCTGTTTAAATTCCTTTAAGCATTTAATCTCCTTACAAAGAAAAACTGACTTATCTTCTTCGTTTCTTTCTTTATTGTTTTTTTAAATTATAAACTGCTGTATTTACTGCTTTCTTAACATGCAAATACGTGACAACATGCTTTTAATTATTGCATAATCATGCTCAACATCATATTCCACTCGTGCCAAACAAATACTATAGCAACGCTTATAATGAGTGGTTGC